TACTTATATTCTTTAAAACATGCGAAACAAGTCGGCAATTCTTTAGGACTTGCAATATCTAAATATATCTTTCTCTTTACCAGAAACCTGATATGAATATGGAATTTTGCATTCATGCATAGTTTACCAGTAGGGAGGTTATGTTTGTAAATGGGCCATGTCAGTCCACGTTTTCGTATAGCCCCCATATAACGGTACCTCCCGATAGTCGGTATTTTGATGATTTCAGCAACATTATTCACCAGAATCATTTCAAATTTCGTATTTGAAGTTCGTAAAGGGTACTACAGCCTATGGCAAAAGTTTTTTGTATGCAGGTCCAAGTCTTCGTATAGCACCCATATAACGGTAACACCGGATATTCGGCATTTTGACGATTTCAGCAACTTTATTCACCGGAATCGTTTCAAATTTCGTACTGGAAGATCCTAATGGATACTACAACCTATGTCAAAAAAATATTGTATGTAGGTCCACGTCTTCGTATAGTCCTAATATAACGGTACCTCCCGATATTCGGTATTTTCATGATTAGTGGGATATTATTTGCCGGAATTATATCGAATTTCGTATTTGAAGTTGTAATGGTTACTACAGTATGACCCCCATATAACGGTTTTCATTTAAGTGGTAGTTTTCGGAATTAATTGAAATTTTTCAAGTTCCTTCGAAATGGTGGAGGGTATTAAAAGTTCGGCCCGGCCGAACTTAGCTGTTTTTTAGCTGATGTTGTAACAAATATTACCAGAAATAGAGTAAACAAACAAACTTAATCATGAATTTTTAAATGAAACTAAATGATCTGACCACTTTAATTCAACTTTGACTGAACAATAGCACTGAAATGCATTTATTTTTCTATAAAATAGTGTTGCACAGTTCATTTTCAAATAAAACAAAGTATACTTTCAATTTTCATTTATTTTGAGTTAATTTTTATTCGTTTTATTAATCGCTATAAACGTTCTCACTTATATTTCCACAAAATATTAAATATGTACTTAATTTATAATATATTTATACAGATAAGATAAAAAACTGCAACCAACTTCAGACTGCTGTCATTTCTAATGGATATAATACATAAGACGCTGTTTTGACTGGCTTAAGTCATCGACTGGCTTCATAACATAACAGCCGATGGTCGCTCTCCGCTCGTATTAATCGACCGTGGCATCAGAATAAATGCCGCAAACATTTTGGCCGCAGACCTTGGACATTCCAACAGTACTCAACACCATCGCACTCAGCACCCGCCACCCAAGAATGGTTACAAAATGAGGTTCCTCGCTTCGTTTCCAGCGCACAATGGCCACCAGAATCTCCGGATACCAATCCTTTAAAATATTGTGTCTGGAGTATTTTGGAAAGCAAGGTTGGCGCTAAAAAATACCAAAGTGTCGATCACCTCAAGCAAGCGCTTCGCCGGGAATAGGCCCAAATACAGCAGAGCAACATTGAGGCAGCGTTTGACGGTTTTATTGGCGGTTTGAAGACCATAATTCGTGCCAATTAACAAATCTAAAGTTATTCTAAAATTTGATTCTATTACCGATATTTTTTGGTTTCATCCAATAAATTAAAAAAAAAAAATGTAAAAATTGTGGCGTTTGAGGTTGTTGCAGTTTTTTACCTCACCCTGTATATTTTACATATTTCGTTAGTAATACTTTTTGCTGATAATACATTTATATTTGTAAATATTTGTTTCATTAAAAAACATTTTAACATTCTTCTATTCAACAAATTTGTAGTCTTTGATGAGAATGATGGAATCAATGGTGGTTTGGATAGAATGTATGATTGCTTTTGAACATTATATGTATACTGATTTTTTTTTTTGGCAACAATGAGCGAAGTATGATGATGTCTGAGTATGAATAATGGAAGTATGAAGTTTTTGCTTTTGGTTCAATGAGACTTTTTGAAATACTTTTAGTTTTTTTTGTTATAAGTGTTAATGATATGCTAATGACTAAAATTACATTTTCTTTGCATAAATATATAGATATTTTGTTTAAAAACGACACTTGGAAGATAAATAAATTTTTGCTTGCTTAAGAATGTGATTGATTTTTATACTTGTATTAAATGGACGAATTCAAAACTAACTTGAGGGATTGTCCCACTTTTTACATAGGTTTTCGAGCTATTTTCTTAATTAAAAATTATTTTCAATGTCTTTTTGTGATATATGCATGTTTTTCATGTTATATGAATGTTTTGTAGATATTTGCTTAATTATATACCATTGATTTATTTATTTATATAAAATCGAATTGACTATAATAATAATTTATTTACATATTCGTAGTGAAATTACTTATAGGGACAATAATGCGTCCTCTGTCTTCATTTTTTAATTCATTACCATTCAGAATTTCAGTCTTTGTTTGTGTTGTCCATTTCAATTTTCTATAATTACGGCTAAAATATATATAAATACATTTTATCTGTTTATAAGATTGTATACCGAATATAAATAAAACCATAATGTATGTGATAAAAAAATATATGTGAATGATGTAATATGCAATCATTTGGCCTTTAGCTTAAGGAAATCAAAATATGTTACTTCATTATGGGTAGGTATAAGAAAGAGGGAATTCAAATTAAAACAAAAAAACGTAAATAAGAAAGGATTATGTTAATGTCGGCAGGAATTGAATATAATATCCACTTACTTCACCATGGGAAAACTGCATTTTGGTTTGAAGCCTTTTAGAATATAACATATAAATTTTATATATATATTACTTCCAAAACGACAAAATTATGCCACGTTATTTTACCCTCCACCATTTTATGGAGGGTATATTAACTCTGTCATACCGTTTGTAACTCCTCGAAATATTCGTAATAGACGCTACGAAGTATATATATTCTGGATCAGCGTAAAATTCTAAGACGATGTAGCGATGTCTGTCCGTCTTTGGAAATAACTCTAGCTTCCGAACGAAATGAAGTAGGTTGATAAAATTTTACTCAAATGCATATTATGTCTACCACGGTTTGGTATAGCCCCCATATAATAGTAACTCCCTTTTTCGGTATTTTGGTGATTTAAGCGACAGAAAATTGTCTGTGCAGGTCCACGTCTTCATAAAGCCCCCATATAACGGTACCTCCTGACATTCGTTATTTTGATGATTTTAGCGACATTATCCATTATCCAATATAACGGTACCCCCCCCCCCATATTTACTATTTTGATGTTTTTAGCGACATTATTCACAGAATTTTTATCAAGTTTCGTATTTGAATATTGTAATGGCATATGACAAAAGTTGCCTGCAGCTGCAACAATAACTTCATGTTGAAAAATTTTGTATGACTTGATAACGAGTAAATGTAAAATCTCCCCTCATAACATTGACACATAGCAATGTAGCGATGAAAATAAAAAATAAAAAAACAAAATATGCAAATTATATTTTCAAAAAATCCTTTATTCTAAATATTTTTTTTTTAAAAAAAATTCAGAAAATTAGCGTTATTTTTCACTCAAAACTTAAATATAAGAATTGGAAGTAAATGAAAAATCGTTAACATTAATGTGTAAGAAAAATAAAATAATAATAAATATTCATATGTATTTTAAAAATAAAATAAACGGCTTGATAATAAAATGATGTACTCTTTGTTAGAAACACTTAACAAAAATTGTACACACCAAATTGGTTTACAGAATGCACACACACGCACATTATGGGAAACTATTTTTGTCTTCGAATCTTACAAGTAATAGAATTATCAATGCGTTTCTTTGTTTATTTACAAAACTTAAAATTCGCAGACAAGAACTGATGTAGATTTTGTGTGTAAACATACATACAACATACATTTCACTAAACATTTATTCAATAAAAATAATAAAGATTTTCATTATTTCATATTTAAGTCTTACAACCCCTTTTTACTAATAATACTATATAAAACAAAAATATATATTAAGCTGTTTATATAAATTTAAAATATTTTAATTTACATAAACACAACAAAACAAATTTTAATAGATATTTTCCCGTCTTCGTGTATTTTACTGATTTTTATAGATTTTAATATATTTGTGTGTACATACATATAATAGAATTTATTTAAATTATTGATATATTTTTTAATTGTTTGTGTTCTTATTAATATACACTATGTTCTTTATTTTTTTAAACGATACCAATTATGATTTACAATAAATAAGATAAATAAATAATTTTCAAATAGCTTGGCCATTGTTTTTGTAGAGTATACCCAAAATAGAATGAAATAAAGTGTTTTTTTTTTCATTTTAAATTAAAATAATACATTGTTATTGGTTTTTTCAGTGTTTCGTTTTAAATAGAAAAAGACTAGTTTTTTTAATATTTATAGACTTGAAATGAAAAAGGTTATTTCCATTAGATTTTTAACTAAAACTTGGAACATTTAAAATTATTAAATGTATGTGAAACATAAACAACTAATGTCCTAAATGTATGAATGAATATAAGTTTTTACATTTTTATACATAATTACTTTTGGCATTTAAATTAGAGTATAAGTGATGCGCCTTTTGTGATTTTCCATGTATTTCAAAGAGTTTTATCCAATCACAAGATTGTGTGTGAGGGTAACATTTTATCCAATTATTGAAGCGGCATTTATTTGAATTCTGAGTTATACATCAAAACGAATGTTATTACGAAACACGTTTCATATATTTTTCCGATAGCAAGTATTGTATGCTCAGCTCACAGAAAAATAGTTAACAACTGAAGAAGAAATTACATAAAACTTTTTGAGTATGGTACTTATAAATAAAATTAAAAAATACAAATATTTTAGTCTTTCATAGGAAATATTTTTCTCAAAACTTTCAATTTTAATTTTATGTAATTTAGTATGTAATCTTTATAGATGTACAACAAACACTAAGTTTTCATATTAGGCTATGATCTTTCTGAGTGTAAGTTAATTAAAATTCGTCGAAAAAATCATCACAAAATCCATAGAAAAAAAATCTAAAATTGAAAACTATCTACATCTGCAGTTTTGAAATGTCACAATAGTTTTTGTTTCTGACCCATCTTAAATAAATAAACAAATAGTAGCCATTGATATTGTTGTTCACATGATTTGTATTGAACTTATTTTCGTTTAATTTCCAAAAAATATAATAAATAATTTATAAATTAAAGGGAATTTTTCTTCCAAAAATAAAGGTGAAGCATATTATAACAAAAAATAAAATAATCAGAATTTCTTGTCTCTCTTTTTTGTTTGATGAAATACATTAAAAATCAGCACGCACACATTTTTCATATTGTATAGTTGTGTAAAAATAATAAGGAATTTTTTTATAAAGAATTAATAACAAAAATCTTTTATTTTATTTATTAACTTAAAAAATAATTCATTGTATATTTGGATTTATAGTACCAGAAAGCAGAAAGAAATAGGAAACAGGGATACAATACCAATTTAGCATATAAAGAATAAGATCCAGGATTAACTCTAGAAAGGAAAGTAGTTAGAAGAATAAGTTGGGGATAGTTCAAGGCAAGCTAAATTTGAAATAACATATGTTGGAGGATGTAATTATCGATTAACCAGCACTGTTGATTTGTGAACATATTGCTATCGTTGTACTTGTAGGAGTTTGGGTTGGTGTTATAGAACCAGTCGATGCTGTCATAGACGTTGTAGTCGCTAATGTTGATGTTGTCCCCACTGATGTAACGGTTGCATTGCTATTTATTGATGTACCACCATTTGTTGAAACTGGAGCCGAGGCATTACTGCAATTGTTCGTTGAATTCGTTGTTGTTGCTGCACAATTTACCTGTTGCTGTTTTAGTTTATCGAAAATTTGTAATTTTGATTTAACCGCACCCTCGCACACCATTAAGCGGGCCTGTGATGGCTTCTTATCCAAATCGAAACAAAACGCCTCATAGTCGGAATTGATAGCTGCATGACGTTTGAAATCTGAATAACGTCTCGTTTCATATGACAAATATGAGGAACCTAAAGCTGAGGCGGCCACAGCTGCTGCCATAGAAGAGGAGGAAGAAGTTGAGCCACTACCACCTGTGGCACTATTACCTCCGACAGCACCACCACTGCTCATACTGCCACGTGGTGGTGGCAAAGTGTCAGGTACTTGCCGCTTTCTCTCGAAATACTCAACAATTTTGGCAATTTGTGCTGAACGTGTGCTAGGCGGATAGGCAAATGATCTTTCATCCCATAGCAATGAATCGGAACCTGCCAAGCTGCTAATATCATCCGAACTATCAGTGTATATGGAGGAGGTACGATTTTTGCAATACAACAATTGATTAGTGGCAAAGGGACTGCGCTGCATCAACGAATGGATTTCTGAATCCAATGCCAAACGATTGATAAGACCAGCAGTTGCTGCAAAGTTGCTATCGTTTTGATTGCCAGCACCTAGCAAATGGTGATGACAGGTATAGCGCCGATGATTGCGTGTTGCATCTGGTAGCTCCAAATCATCGAATGAACGTAAAGCCGCTGCACTGGAAGAAGTATTTATACCACCACTACTTGTGGTAGGCTCATCGATTAGCAGCACCGACGAAGAGGTGGAGGAGGAATCATTGAGGAACTGATGATGGCCTCCACCATTTTGTGACGCAGAACTGTAATAGCAACAGCGACATAAACTGGCCAATTTGTCGCTGGAAATAAATCGAAAACAAGAAATTAATAAGTTTATATCTCTAATATCGATGAAATTAACATCCTACCTTAATTCCCCATTGGCACCTACATCCAACATAAGTTGTGATTTAAGCTGTTCGAAGCAACAACTGCTGCCACCACCACAACCCAAACCTAATGAAGATACACCGGCACCATTGAATTGACGGAACGTTGTAGCAGCATCCGATTCCTCATTGAAACATGAATAGAACCCACTCTCTATAGAGTCGCGGCGTGTCAGTGAACTCTTTGTGGGCAAAAAATCACTGGGTTTTATGTCATTCAAATCGAAATCTGTGCAAGAAGATAAAGAGGCGGGTGTGGCAACCATGGGTGCTGACGTGGGCGCTGGTGGTGTAGGTGGCGAAGGTGTTGATGCGGAGATGGGCAAGTCCTTGGAGGGTTTGAGAGCACTACCATCACATCCATCCTCGGACGAGTTACAGTCTTCCATAGCTACCGTTGCCGTTGATGCTGCAGCAGTTTGTGCAGCCAGAGCGGCAATTGCCGAACATTGATCTTCGGAGGTTTTAGTGCTACCATTGCCACGAAATAAGGGGTGTGTAAAAAGGGAATTGGCCCTATATTTGCGTGCAACTGGATTGGGTGCAGGTCGCTCAGCTGAATCATCACTGCTGGATTCAGCATCGGCACAGTTGCCACCACCATCAGCATCTTGCTCGGCATCCGAGTCGTCCACGCAATCATCATCGTCTACTTCATTAGTACAACACCGTGGGAGCGGTAGTGTTGGTGACAGTTTAAGTTCAATTGCACTGTACTTGCGTGACAACTGCGGGGATGTTGGTAGACTCTTTGGTTCGTTAGGTGATGTTGCTGAAGCCGCAGTCGTTGTTGACGTACCAGTTTTACCACCATTTTCATCTGTCACACCATTGGCTGGTTTTTGCTGCAATGCAGCCATCTCCTTAAAGAATGGAGCACACATTTCGAAACACGAACTAAACAAGTCTCCCACACCTGCAGCATAGGTTTTTGGATTGGCTCCCAATACCTTCTTCACTCTTCTCAATTGGGCTAAAGCTGTGAAAGGATTAGATTTGACGCCATTGTGATCGGAACGTATGGGTTTGTAGAGTGCATCTTTGAGACACATTGTCTCGGCCACCTTCCTAAGGGTTAGCACCGGTGGTGGTGACTCACGTGCCTGTGTGTGTGCAGCACTGGCAGCAGTGGCACTGGGTGAACCTCCAAAGGGCGGTGGGGTTGGTGAATGAGTGGAAGATCGTTGGCGATTCATTTGATGGCAACGAGCTTTGTCGCTGGGGGTGGTATGTAAGGGAAAGTGTATAATATTCTCACTCAGAGAACGGCGATGTTGCTGCATTAGCAATTCAGCTGCAGCTTCATACCGTTTGGTGGCTCTCTTAACACGGTTCTTGGTGCTACAGTTGTCATCGACATCCAATTGTAGGGGCGATCCATTCGTTATTGAGTTGCTGCGATTTACTTGGTCGGGGAAAAGGAAACCATTCTCGTTTACTTCCTTCATGTGACGCGGCGTTACTTGACCAGCCGGAGCTGTTTTGATACACGGTGTAGTGGTGACTGTTGTACTGGGGGTAGTTAATTTCTTTGTTGACAAATGACGAGTACAACCATTTTTATGGGTATTCGCTTGACAAATATTTTCCGCATCGCTACCGTTAGGCGAACAAGTCATATCCAAGGAACTCAAGGGACTTGAACTGGCACTGATTGTGGATGAGGAAGATGATGTGGCCCCATTTGTGGCACTTCCTGAATTGGGATCATGCTCGTATTTTTCCAAAAGTAAAGTAAGTTTCTTTGAAGCATCATGAAACGTAGGCCTACTTTTGGGATCGTACTGGAAGGAAAAAACGTGCAATAAATAATATATTCTTTAAGGTGTCCATTAGCAGGATACTTACTATACAACAATAAAAAGCCAGTCTTAAAAATACAGGTGGTGTATCCATAGGACACAAATCAACAAATGCCAAATAGTCCAAACCGAATGAATCACTACGTGGCATAATATCAGGGTCAGCTTCAATCCTTGCTATGATTTCACAACAGATAATACCAAATGAGAAAACATCGCTGCGTTCGTCATAAAATTGATTTTTTAGGCATTCAGGACTGACCCAATAGGGCGAGCCAACATAGTCCAAACGGGTTTTGACCCTAAAGAATATATAATAATGGCCATTGATTAACTGTGTTGTTGAAACTTGAGTTGCAATTAAGGATCTTACTTTTTATCAGGAATTTTGGTAGCCAAACCAAAATCTCCAACGACAGACTCAAAACGTCCACCGGGTAAATTTCGTATTAAAACATTCTGTAAGAAGAGAGATTTATTAACATTGTACACATATTTCCTTGAAAATTGTTTAAACGATCTATACATACTTTGCTCGTTAGGTCTCGATGGAATATGCCTGCATCATGAACGTAGGCCATACCACATGCGACACCCAATGCCAGTCTTATTTTTGCTGCAGCCGTTAAAACGACTTCTTTATTTGCCAAAAGCTGTTCCAATGAACCACCATTTATGTATTCGGTCAAGGCATGTAGTTGTCCTTCTTGTACACAGACTCCCATAAAACTGTAAATGAACAACAAACATAGAGAAATGGTATTAGGCTATTTTCTATTCTAAAAAAAGTAATTACAGTTTAAAAAAAAAAGAAAGTAATCAAAATCTGTTTGCACATAGCGTGATAAGGGTAGAAACGCGATTTGCCCGATCATGGGAATAAGTAAGTATTGTATTAGTTTCTGAAACAATTTAAATGATCTTGTTTGCCAAGAACAGCTTATTTTCCCTTGTGAAAAAAGGCATGCTGCAATTCACCTTTTCATTTTTTTATTTTTAATGAGTAAACCCTTAATTAAAAATTTATGATATTTGCCAAAAATAACCTCCAAACTCGGAATAAGTCAAAACATCATGTTTCGTATATAAATAAAACAGTTGACGAAATTAATTGTTTTGCCAAAACGTGCTTGGAATTTTGAAACGAAAAACGCGCGGTCTTGAATGAAAAAAGAAATTAAACAAATTTCTGTCTTATTGTCAGCCCAGCCAGCCAGTCAGTCACCTCATAAATAATTTAGGCTGGAATTATGTAAACAAGTGTCGATGGCGGTTTTGTTTTTATTGGCTCTTCTTAAATAGGGCAATTGTCGTTTTGTTAATCAAAAATGCTATGAGTTTTTATCAGTCGAAATTCATAAAAGCCCATAAAAGGGCGAACAAGAATAAGAATTTCATCGCGTAATCAGAAAATCTTTAATCTTTTTTGGTATTTCTGTTCGTGTCGAAATTGTTTTTTCTGTTAGATTGATGTGTTTATTAACTTGGCTTTATATTGGTGTCTTATGTTAATTGGTAATTTTAATGCTGACGATGATTCAGTTAGGCAATGATAAGGCAATATTGTTAATAATATTTAATTATTACGTTATTCAGATAAAAAAATTACTTTTGAGAAATTGACGGTGTTTGAAATATTTCTTCCGTAGTTGAGAAAGACACATTACAAATTAAAAATGGCAAGATCAACCGTTAAAAAATCATAAGCCTTTGTAAAACATTTATGTATTTCTTAAGGAATTTACCGGCCATCAAACCTGATTTATTTTAAGAATTAAAAAAAAAAATTGTTCCATCTAAAGTGGATTTTGAAGGATATTTACAGGCCAATAACATTATTTTTAAGAATATTTACAGGTTATAAATTTGGGGATTGTTACGTTATTTAAATTTTAAAGTTTAAGGAATATTTATAGCCCAATAAACGATGTTTTTTTTTAAGATTATTTTTGTGGCCAAAAAATGGCTCCATTCGGCAAATATGGAAAAATGAGCTCGGGGTAAATCCATTGAAATGCCAAAAAGTGCAAGAACATACACTGCAACAGAAAGAAAATAGACTAAAAAGAGCTAAAGAGTTGCTTCGCTCGGCCGAAAGTGGTGAACTGCCGAATTTGGTTTTCTCCGATAGAAAACATTTGTTGTCCAGCAGTTTGTAAACAAACGTGTTTACTTGCAAAAGAGGTCAGCTGAAAATGTGCACCTTCGCGGTTGGCCACTAGAACTCAAGCACCGGCAATGGTGATGGTGTAGGCCTCCATTACAGCCGCTCGTATTAATCGACCGTGGCATCAGAATAAATTCTGAATATCGCGAAAATATTCTAGAGAGTGTATTAAAGCTTTCGGCACGCAAACAATTTGGCCGCAGACCTTGGACATTCCAACAGGACTCAGCACGCGCCACCCAAGAATGGTTACAAAATGAGGTTCCTCGCTTCATTTCCAGCGCACGATGGCTACCAAAATCTCCGGATACCAATCCGTTGGACTATTGTGTCTGGAGTATTTTGGAAAGCAAGGTTGGTACTAAGAAATACTATTTTTTGTGATCAGTTTTTTAGGAATGAATTATTACAAACTTTAAAATGGCCGTAACTCCCTTAATATTGACTTTTCGGTACATTTAGCTATTATATGTGATCATTTGTTTAGGAATGAATTATTACAAACTTTAAAATGGCCAAAACTCCTTAAATATTGACTTTTCGGCGTTTTAGCTAATATTTGTGATCAATTTTCTAGGAATGAATTATTACAAACTTTACCCTGTATATACAAACCCTGATCCGGGTTAACCGTGATAATAAATCAATTCGAAAAAAATTGACAACGAAAAATGCTCATTTAATTAAACCAAACTTACAATTTTTTCCTCTAAGCAATTGCTTAGTTGTACATTTAATATTTATTCATCATGATTGTAATACCATACCCATACACCATCATTTGATGATAACTATAATCATTCTTATTTAACTGCATTTTATGGTAATTAAATTTTAATAAAAACCAATCAATACAACCATGTCAGTTTTACTTTCTTTTCTGTTACACCTTGGCAAAATTCGATACAGTGGATAGGCAATTTTATGAAAAATTTTAATTTAATCCATGAAACAGAGAGAGAGAGAGAGAGAGAGAGAGAGAGGCAGCAAAAGGGTCTGAAGAATGGGTGGAATAAATAAACCTGTGAGCATAATAAATGAGTGAAATTTTATTTAGCCTGTGGGGAAAAGACAAACAGTTTTCAGTTTTTAGTTGAAAACTGTTACAAGTGTTTGCCATGTTATTGCCATTAATAACACCTAAAGATAGCGGAAGATTATTTATTTTAAACTCAAAATGTTATGCTTGCACTAAAGAGCGTTGTTGGTTTCCACGGCGGACTTTTGAAGCCATGGATATCTTGTAAATGAATTTCAATGGCTTTACGCAAGCAACGGCCTTCTTTTGCTTGTGGCATCGATAATTAAAAATGTTTATTTAATTACAGGTGAGTTTGGCTGTTACTTGTTATTACTTTGTTGCTTTTAATGAGAATTTTTTAAATATCAATGCATAAATAGTTCAATTAATTGATGATTATAACTTAAATAAATATATGTATGTATTTGACATTTACCATCTTTTTTGAATGCTGTCTATAAACATGTATAGTCAAAAATATTATTATTTAATTAGGCTTAAGCCATGAGAATCATGATAGAGCTGTCAAAATCTAATGTCAACATCATAATAGAAATGAAGAATTTTTTGACCACTTCATTAGTTACATACTGACATTTTTTTTACTTTTAAAACAAATTATTGTTTTGCGAAATAATAGCCTGTTATTGTTCGTAGATACAAAAGTGAATTTAGAAGAAAAGCAATCCCTATAAGTTTTTCATATTTTTAAATTTAAAAAAATACTCGTAGAATTGTTTTTTTTATAAGTTCAATTTCGTGTGGTCACGCAATACTTTCTCTAAATTTTATCGACCTTTTTGATTGTGAGGAAAAACAGCATACCCGAGAGCTTGAGTTCTGTGTAATATTTATTTTAAGAAATTACAAAAAATATTTGTGTTTTTTTTCATTTGGCAGGATTTGACCATAAACCGATATATTTACTTTATTTTCAAAATTTATTCCACCATGAGCAATTTAGATCGATAATGGCTTAGCCTTGTCCTTTAGACTATTTGCCTTAGATTTGAAACTAATGATTTTGGGTTGGAAACAAAGAAAACTGTCACAGAGAGTGAACGTTTCTTAGATCTTAGATTGTTACACCTACTTGTCCCTGTATAATATACAGGGTGAGAATGAAAACTGCAACTATCTTTAGACTGCTGTCATTTGTAAGCCATTCGTCCGACAGCTGTTAAAATTATTAAAGTGACAGCTCATTATATTATTTACAAGCGTACAAAAGCATTTTGGTGAGAATTTTCCAGAAAAAAAGTTATTCGTGATGGAATTCAAGCGTTATAGTGTGATTTCTTTATATTTGGCTGGAAACCACAAGTGGCTATCGTTAGAGCACTCCAGCATTTAAATGTGAATAAATCTTTTGTGTCGTACCATCGCTCGTTACAGTGATACTGGTAGCGTAGCCCGACGTCAAGGAAGTGGACGGTAGACTTGATCGAAACTCGCGTCGCAGTGGCCGAAAAATGGTGGTGGCCATTCGTCAAATATTAAAAAATGAACTTGCACACAAAAGAGCTAAAGAGTTGTTTCGCTTGGCCGAAAGTCGTGAACTGCAGAATTTGGTTTTCTCCGATTAGAAAACATTCGTTGTGCAGCAGATTGTAAACAAAAAAAATTATTGTATTTAATTTCCAATGAGGTCAGCTAAAAATGTGCACCTTCGGTGGGCCATCATAACTCAAGCGCCGGCCATGGTGATGGTGTGGGCTTCCATAACAGCCGATGATCGCTCTCTGCTCGTATTAATTGGCCGTGGCATCGGAATAAATACCGAATATTATCCCGAAAATATTCTGGAGGGTGTATTAAAGCCTTGGGCACGTAAACATTTTGGCCGCAGACCTTGGACATTCCCACAGGACTCAGCACCATCGCACTCAGCACGCGCCACCCAAGAATGGTTACAAAATGAGGTTCGTCGCTTTATTTCCAGCACGCAATGACCACCAAAATCTCCGGATACCAATCCGTTGGACTATTGTGCCTGGAGTATTTTGGAAAGAAAAGTTGGCACTAAAAAATACCAAAGTGTCGATCACCTGAAGCAAGGGAATGGGTCAAAATACCGCAGAGCTCAAGCGCCGGTCATGGTGATAGTTTGGGCCGCCATAACAGCCGATGGTCACTCTCCGCTCGTATTAATCGACGAATATTATCATGAAAATATTCTGGACGGTGTATTAAAGCCTTGGGCATGCAAACATTTTGACCGCAGACCTTAGACATACCAACGGGACTCAGCACTATCGCACTCGGCACGTGCCAAGAATGGTTAAAAAATAAGGTTCCTCGCTTCATTTCCAGCGCACAATGGCCACCAACATCACCGGATACCAATCCGTTGGACTATTGTGTCTGGAGTATTTTGGAAAGCAAGGTTGGCCCAAAAAAATACCAAAGTGTCGATCACCTCAAGCAATCGCTTCGCCTGGAATGGGGCAAAATGCCGCAGAGCAATCTTTCGGCAGCGTGTGACGGTTTTATAAGCCGTTTGAAAGTGACCAATTTGATCAAATATAAATTTATTCTACA